GGAAATAAACAGCAAGAACATAAACCATTCATTCTGTGAGGTGATTCATACAAAACTCACTCTGATCACACAAAAGTTATCCTAATACACTTAAAATGTCAAAAATCTACAATGTGGTAAAAATAATATTTTCCTTGTGAAAGAATTTCTTCAGTGTTGTAAGTTAGTTATTATTTATGAATCTCCTGCATCAAAAGAAAGATGACCCAATGTTTTTGCAAAGTAAAAAGCTCACTAGCACCTGAAGATTCTTACTTCTATACTCACAGCTACAGAAAGACAGTCAATATTGAGAGAACCAGGGTACAGAGAACTTAAATTACAAAAGGAGGAACACTGTAAAACATCAATAATTAAAGTAGATTATTCAATATGCAGTATTGTTTAGTAAAGTGCTAACTTTATAAAACCATTCAAAAACTTTCGCACGGTTTCCCCTACATATAATAAGCTAATTTGGAAGGTCAAGGCAAAACATCACAACTGCTATCAGTGAAAACAGTGGAGTAAAGAACTCCAAAAGTTTACCCTTCCATAAGGGCAATGAAAAAAAACCTGTGAAAGGTGTCATAAGCAACTTTTTTGGACCCCAGGAAACTAAAAGCTTGTAGCAAGTAGGGGAACACTTAACAAAAACCAGAGAATTTCACAAGAATGGCAAATTTTGTGGTAAATAAACTTATTCTAGGTCCCATCTTCTGTCTTCTAGTTTAGTAGCAGTCATGAAAAAAAGGACATGAACAAGTATCAGAAGAAGCAGAATGGGCCTCATTTTCAGAGAACTGTCATTATTTGGACTGACTTGTCTCTTTAGAATTAAAAGATGGTGGCTCATACCTGTAACCCCAACACTTGGGAGGTTCCGGCTAGAGCACGGCCAAGTTGGAGATCAGTTCATCTATACAGTGAGACCATCTTAAGAAAAAAGTGTATGTGTCCATGTGTGTGTGGGGTTGACGGATCTGGCTCAGCTTGTCTAACTTTGAACTCACAGTGTTAAAAGGGCCATACTGAAACCAAGTAAAGCAGGTAAATTAGTCACCATTGCCAGAGTCAATGAGTAACAATGTGTGTATGTGTTGGGGGGTGGGGGTGTAGTCTAACCAAAAAGCTTGAGAAAGAAGGCTGGGAAATGAGATGCTTTAAGAAATATGGGTTGTGAAAAGCTCCAAGGCATTCCTGGAAATCTAGAAGACCACAAGATGCTATGTACATGCTTAGAAAAGGCCTAAATAGGCTCCAGTTCTCACTCTCTGGCTTACCCTGAGGCTTGTAAAGGCCTGATGTGAGGGCTAAGGCAGAGATGTAAGCTGTCTGGCTGTGTTCAAAGTGTGTGCAAACATACATACAAATACCTTTGCAAAAGGTATGATGATGTTGGTTCCATGCATTTAAGAAAATCTCCATGCGATGATCAGCTGACCATTAAGCTAACAGAATAAAGACTTCAGAGACCACATATTACAAATAAAAACTTTGCAAAATCACTGAAAAAATAAACAGAAACTGTAACAAGCAGCAACAACTAACCCTGGACAGGAGAGAATTTGATTTCCAGAGTTGCCATATAATGCTATTCAAAATGTCTGGCCATTGGTAGAAAACTAAAAGGCATGCAAAGAAATAACAAAGTATGGCCGACAAGGAAGTTTTAAAAAAACTCAAAAAAAGCATGAAGACAGTGAGGTACTGTCCTGGAGAAAGCCCAATACTGGACTTCATATAAAGACTCTCAAATATAGCTAATCTAAATATTCTCAAGGAACTATTCTCAAGGAACTAAAAGAAACCACGTGTATAAAACTCAAAGGGGGCTGGGGATAGTTCAGTGGTACGGTGCTTGCTGAGCACGGGCAAGACCCTACATTTGATGCCCCACAACATCAAAACAAAACAAACTAAGGGAAATAGTATAAATGATGTCTCACTAAAGAGAGTATCAATAAAGGGATAGAGATTTATTAGAAATAAAGTCAGTGGTAGTCCACTTTCAAGGCAAAGCCTTTAATCCTGAGTGGAAAATTACTGGTAATTTACTTGCATGTACTTGGAAAGCTACAAACAAGGTGTTGGGGAGGGACCACAATAAAATGAGGAAATAAGTAAAAACTATGTAGTGCCCACGTATCACGTGGAGACATTCCTGCCACACATAAACAAAGGGAGGTGGAGACTTAAGATTGGACCAATCCCAAGAGAGACATATTTTTAAATAATCAAGTAGAAATAATAAAGTTTAAGGCTACTTCTGGAAAGATTGTACACGATGGAGTACTCGGCCAATGAGGAACTGGGGGAAGGAGCTATGCACTAGCAATAAAATGCCCATTGTAACTGCCCTGGGTGTGCCTGGCTTACCAGACACCTGATCCTGCAAGACTGCCATTAAAGGCACATTTTTGCTGTATTTCCCATGTCTCTGAGTCCATTCTTTTGAGTTTGAACAGGTGAGCATATTTCTCACAGATAAGAATAAGGAATCAAAGAGAAATTATGGAGTTGAAAAAGCACAAAAACTGAGTGAAAAATATACTGGAGAGGTTCAATAGCAGATTTCAGCAGGAAGAAGAAAAAACCAGCAAACTTATGACTGGGTCAATTGAGATTACGCAGTCTGAGAAACAGAAAAGAGAACAAGGAAAAATGAGTAGAGCAGAGATCTGTGAGACACCATCAAGCATAACAACACTGACATAGGGAGGCCCAGAAAGGAGAAATTGGCAGAAAGAATATTTGATGAACTAATGGCCAAAAATCCCCAAAGACGTATACATCCCAATTTATACATCTGAGATATTCCATTAACTCCAAATAGGAAAAATTCAATTATCCATATTGAGACACCTCAAAATCTGTTAAAAGCCAAAGATAAAGAGCATCCTGAAGGCAGCAAGAAAAGAAGCAACTCATCTATCATGTACAAGGAATCAGCAATAACATCTGATTTCTCAACAAAAGCAAGGAAGACCAGAAGGCAGTGTATGACCTAATCAAAAACCTCTATTACCCAACAAAGTTGTCCTTCAAATATGCAGGTAAAACTAAGACACTCCCAGATAAAGAAAAATTGAGTTGGTTGCCAGAAGACTTGCCCTTCAAAAAATGCTAAGAAAATTTACAAATGCCTTCAGGCTGAAACAAAAGACATTAGAGAGTAACTCAAAATCCCACAAAGAAATAAAAAACACTGGAAAAGGTAACAATATAGGTAAATATAAGTGACACCATTAATGTATTTTTTGTTTGTAACTCCTCTTTTTCATTCCTATGTAATTTGAACTGCTAATGCACAAAATAATACTTACAAGCATAACTATGTTATTTGTCATAACAGAAAAAAGGAAGGGGAACAGAGGTATGCAGGAGTAAAGCTTTTGTGTATTATTAAAATTAAGCTGGCATTGGGGACTGGGGTGTAGCTCAAGGCTGGAGTGGGTGCTTAGCATGTACAAGGCCCTGGGTTTTGTCCTCAGCAACAAAAAGAAAACTTAAAGTTGGTATCTACTCTGAACTGCTATTTATTGTAGTCAAAGAAAATATTAGTACCACTAAAAGTATAGAATACGTGCCAAGGGAATTAAAATGGGATAACAGAAAATACTTAACAGAGACTTTCAGAAAAAAATGTAACACAAAAAGATATGACATACAGAAGACAAATAGAAAAAAAATGACAGAATTCTTTCTTATCAGTAATTAAATATAAATGGATAAAATTAATCTATAGATTTAAAGCAATACTTTTTTAAATTCTCAGGTTTTTTGTTTCTTTTTGCTTGGCAGACATTGACAAATAATCCTAAAACTCATATGGAAATACATGGGATCCAGAAAGGCTTAAAAAACTATCTTGATTAAAAAAATCTTAAAACACTTGCAATACCAAAACTTACTACAACACTTAAGGATAAAAAACAGTGTGGTACTAGCATAGACAATAGGTCAGTTTCATACAGAACTGAAAGCCCAGAAATAAGCCCAACACCTAGGGTCAATTGATTTTTGACAATGTTGCGAAAATCATTAAAAAATTAGATAGGCACACACAAAAGAACAAATGCGAAACCTGTCTCACTTAATACACCAAAATTAACTCAAATGGGTCAAAGAACTATGAACCAAGTCTAAAAGCTAGAACAATACAACTCTTAGAAGCAAATAAAGAAAACAAATTGTGGATTAAGCAACAAATTCATAGACACAATACCAAAAGAAATAACTAAAGAAAATTTAGATAAATTGCACTTTATCTAAATTTAAAATTTTTGTGCAAAGGACATTAGAAGAAAGATGAAAAGAAAACCCACAAAGTGGGAGATACAAGTGCAAATCATACATGAGATGATTATATAATTATTATGAGATGATTATTAAGAGGTGCAGATTATATGAAAAACATGAAGGTCCACTAACAAATAGATAATCGTTTATTGAAACAGCTGAATGACTTGAACAGACGTATCTCCAATGGTCAATAAGACACAAATACTCAGTATCGTTCACTGCTAGGGAACTGCACGTCAACACTTCACACTGAGAGCATGAGGCGAAATTAGAATCCTCATGCATTAATCGTAGGAATATAAAATGGTGTGAAGAACTGCGAAAAACAATTTGGTAGTTCTTCCAGTACTTAGACATAAAGTTAGCGTATGACTCAGGAATACCACTACTAGGTACAAACCCAGCAGAACTGAAAATAAAGCTTTACATAAAAACTTGTTCACAGATGGTCATAGTGGTATTATGATAACAGCCACCAAATGGAAATGATCCAAATGTCCATCAACTGACAAAGAGAACAGCTATAGCATGTCCACAGAATGGAGTATTCATCCATAAAAAACGAATCAAATACTGATATGTTCTACAGTATAGATGCATCTTAAAAACCAGATACCACATACTACACATCTGATTCCGTTTGTATAAACTTTCTCTATGGAGACAAAGTAGATTAGTGGTTGTAGGGAAGAGAAGTGAAGAGACTGGGGTGTACTACTTAATGGTTATGGGCCATCTTTTAGGAGTGATGAAATGCCCTGGAATTGGGTAGCTGTGATGGCTGTACAATATTGTAAATATACTTAACCCAGCTACATCATACATATAACAGTGAATTTTAAGTTGTATGAATTTCTTCACAAGTAGACAAAGCATCACTTATCTGAAAATTATATAACTTATCAGTTATAAAGCCATTTCATTATAACTTGAAATGCTGAATCCTTGTAAAGTACAGTTCCAAATTCTAGATCTTCACTATAGATGTACATATGTATAAAATTTGTATATATATAAATAATAAAGATACACAAATGCATCTTTATTATGGTTACAACTTACTTCAGGAGCCTAAGATAGCAATTACGTTACCTTAATCACAATTATTAAACAGAACAAACCAGTCAGTACTAGAACAATGGGAAAAAATTACAAGTAAAATATAGAATCAATATGAAACTTGATTTTTTTCATTAGCATCTATAGCAAAGAATTCATGAAATATGTCAATCATTTATTTGCAATGAACTTTAGAAATCATTTAGGAATTATTAAAATGAAGCCAACATCAAAAAACAATTTTTCAGTGGACTCTAATCCCAGCACTCAGGAAGGCAAGACAGAAGGATCACCAGCTTGAGGTCACCCTGGGCTACACAGAAAGAGCCTATCTCAAAAAAAAATAATAATAATAATCAAAATAATAACCACAGCCAGTGTTACACATTGTGTGTGTGTGTGTGTGTGTGTGTGTGTCTGTATGTATGTCTGTCTGTCTCTGTGTTTTGCTAAGGATGGAATCCAGGGCCATGTGCATCCTAGGCAAGGCTCTTCCATTGAAATATATCCCAGTCCCAGTTTTATACAATCTTAATCACTGCAAGTTTATTAGGAACAGCAAGACAGTACAAATTTGTAATTAATAAGTGTAAGCTTAAGTAAAAGGATGAGTCATTAAAAACCATTTCCTCAGATTAGAAAGGGCAGAGGTACTGGAATAGAGTCCTCAGATGTCAAACATTCCAAAACAGCAATGAAAGACTTCTGAGGGGTTTCATGTTGCAATTTATCATCCTGCAAAATCTGAAATAGCACAATAAAAGGGTAGAAATTAAAATAGTTCCCAAGGAAGGACTATCTTTTAAAGATGGGATCTGCCCACTCCTATATTAAATATCAATACTGATACTATTTATTATCAACTAATCCCAAAGTGAATAAAAGGAAAGTAAGACAACACTTACCTCTTCTAAGCTAGGGAGCGAAGAAGAAGATACTGTTCGAGATGACAATGAGTGAAATGGCTCTTGACCAATAGCATGTGGATGATTCTGTATTTGTACAAAAGGGTTCTGTGGTGGCCTGTGAGGCAATGGAGGTAGGCCATAGGGAAAACCCGGCCCTATTAAGTGATTCTGCTGCAAGTTAGCAAAAGTCCATGCTCCATCAGGTGCCAGGTATTTCAAGTGAGGAGGGGCAAGGTGTTCGGATGGCAAGGAGAAAGGTGAGCTGAATACCTGGGGAGGGAGGCGCTGTGGAAATGCTGAGTTGCTGGCTACTTCAATGTCTCTGCTGTTGTCATTCAAGTTAGAGAAGTGGCTACTGTGGTCTGCAGTAGATGGGGGAGATGGTACTGTCGGTGGGCTTCTAGTCTGAACTTGTCTATATTGCAAAAGTCTTGATTGAGGTGGTGGCATTTCAGCTAGTTCTCGTGCTTCACTTTGATCACGATGAGACAGCTCTCTAATTAAGTCTTGAAACCTACATGAAGACGAAAGTATGAGAAAACAAAGGCTCCATTTCATGAAGGAAAGCTTAGACAACCACATGTGTAAGCTACAAACCAAATCATAATACTTAATTAAGAGTTCACATTATTGAACCTCAGAGGTAAGTCAGAACACTCAGCAGATGCTAAACTGAAGACACTGCATAAATATTCCAATTACCTACCTGATTTCTTGTTTTTCCCTTTGTATTAAAGGCACCTGTCTTTACCTCTACAAGATAACCAGAAGTTATACAAGGTCACTATAATGGTGAGCCTTATTGAGAAGGAAATTAGGAAACAGTTCATAGCATTCACATGATGCTGGCCATAAAAATAAGCTTAGAATTAGGACTGAACATTCATAGTACCTGTTGTTATAAAAAGGTAGAATTCTGTACAACTAGAAAAAAATTAATGATAGATTTGTAATTTTAACTTTTAAGCAGTAATTTACTTCTGGTTTTATTCATTCTTTGTTAAGTATTACTACTGAATATCAAAAAACAAAAACAAGCAACAGCAACAAAAAACCAACCAGCCACAATGGTGGTATCTTTCCATTGCAGAAGACCACAAGCCAAGGTACCAATTTTCATTCACAAACCACAGGAGACCATCCATGCTTGGATTTGTATAGGAGTCACTTCTGAAGGAACTCTCGTATGTTAGAGTCAATCAAGGCAATTTTGTAGTATGCCCCAAGAAGGCCAGCATTCAATTTCTTCGAAAAATTACTTCAGCTTAAAGCTAAAAGGACTATCAAGAAAGTAAACACTGACACCTGTAATCGTAGCTATTCAGGAGACAGAGACCAGGATAATCGTAGCTTGAAGCCAGCCCCAGGCAAACACAGTTCCACAAGACTCTATCTCAAAAAAAACTTTCACAAGAAAGGGCTGGTTCCAGGTGAAGGCCCTGAGTTCAAGCAAAAAGTACCGCAAAAACAAAAACAAAAAGTAAACACAGAGGGGGTGACGGAGGAAAGAGGGGATGTTTCAGAGGCCATTTTCTGCTGGCATACCTTGAGAATGTCGTTTCTGCTTCGTCTTCGGCACTGCTGGTGAGCTTCCAGTCTGCTCTCACTGGTGGCTGATGGAGGCCCATGGGTGGCTGAGGAAGATGCTGAAGATGAGGATGGTGATGGTGTGCGTACTGAATACTGCTCTGGCTGAGATAGGCATGATGTTCGTTCCACTGCTGTAACCGTACTTGCTGCTGCCTCAATGTTTCCAGAGCTACACTGCCATGTATACGATCTGCAGAGCATATGCAACCAAAAAAAAAAAAAAAAAAAAATTAAGTTTTTTTGCATTTAGGGCTACAAAGTTAATTTCTTCAGGAGTTTTTAAAAATCAGATTTTCTCCACAATTTGGTTTTGGTAGAAAGTAGCATTTTCTAAGAAACCGCAGTTATTGTAATAATGCAGATGATTTTCTCTATTTGCATACTGATGTAACCTGACATCAGCTGGATACTTAATATCATATATAGCACTTGACACTAGATTCTGATTACTATACTCAGTGGTTGATTTTTGCTGGCATTATTTGAAGAAATGATCAATCTTGACCCAAATTAATATTATATATCATTAATAAATAGTCTCTGAACTTTTCCCATCTAGTAGTAATAGGTAGCCTTACCTAAAGCCTCTCCTATAGGTAGTCCTGTGGAGTTCTCATCAAGGAAGTTGTTGAGGTGTGAAGGAAGGAGAGGGCCAGGCTGAGCAATGGCTCTCAGAGGACTGGGGCCTTCTTGCAGCATGGGAGGGGGCTGCTGCTCAGAAATCACAGGCTCTGCAGGAGGAGACTGTGGCCCATGAGAAACTGCAGTGTTAAAAAAAGCATTGCTGGGTCCCGTGTGATATGCAGGAGAAAGCTGAGGAGGTGGCTGCTGAGCCTGTGGATTCAACTGGCTTTGCTGCTGGACTACCTGATTTGGTTGGGGTGACATCTGATTTGGTTGTTCAGGCACATTATTCTGCTGCTGGTTTAATAAGGTATGCTGCTGTGGAATTGGAAATGGTGGTCTCGGTAGCTGGGGAATTGGATGAAAGTGGCGATTAGGGATCGCATACTGTGCATGGGGGGCAGGAAGAGGAAGATTTATGTGTCTTGGGGTGAGATTATCTTTGCGAGGAAATTTGGTGCTGGGATAAACAACACCAGGACGTGATTCAGGACTTCTGTTCTGTGGGTTTGATTCCAAATCAACCTAGGGGGGAAAAAAAAGGCTTTTTAATTGCAGAAAGTATGAGTTCAGTGCCTCTCTACCTTTTCCCAATGCTAACACATGTAAAGGATATGATATATTCTTATCAGTAATAGCATGAGTGCTGGATGCCAAATCAATCACTTTCTGACAATAAAATTAGGAGTTTTTTTAATTAAAAAAAGATGATATAGGAAAAACAGCATATTAAAGTTGAGTCATAAGAAAACACTATTTTATTAGCATAGCCACTTTAATTCTTGAATTAAAGCATGTTTTAATGTCATTTTCATCCTTGGAAAGATAATCATTAATATCCTTCAGATAGGTCAATAAAACGTGTTCTGATTTTATTGTTTTTATACATCTAATCTACTGTTTCCTCAAACACATCGCTATTAATAAAAAAATTTATCTCAATTTAACAACTTTGAAATGAACAAATGGGTACTATATCACTTTACCTTTGTATAACCAGTTTGGTTGCCAGTTTTTGCCACTACATAGTATTAGCATTCTTTCCTTTAACAAATATTTGCTGAGGCCCAAGTGCACTGTGCCTGATGCTAAAGATTAAAAGAGCAACACTAAGAATCATCTTGTACCCTCAAGAGCTTAGAGCAGAGTGTATAAAACATGGCCCCAACCATATAGTCCCAGTCCATCGGAATTTTGTAAATAAAGTTTTAATGGAACTCATACATTTACAAATTTTCTATGGCTGCTTTTGTACTACAATGAGAAAGCTGAGCAGCTGTAACACAGACCATATGGCCCACAGAGCCTAAGATTTACTATTAGGCCTTTTACAGAAAAAGCTTACTGGCCCCTGATTTAGAGTCCAGTATAGAATGTTAACATGTAGACATATAGAGATACTGAAAAAGTTGTATCACATGAGATCCTAAGGACTAAGAAAATTAAAGAAAGCTTCACAAAGGCAATGACATTGGAGTTGAATCTTATAAAAAGAGATGGAATATTACAGGAAGGGAAGAACATCCTGGCTAAAGGTAACAATTTATGCAAAGTTGAGAGAGCAGGAAGAGTATGGTAAATTTAGGGGGAACAAGAAGATTTGTGTACACAGAGCTAAAACTTCACTTGCTTACATGTTAGTTTCCAATTCTTGACATCAGAAAAAACTGCAAGAGTCCAAGTACAGAGACCCTGAATGACTGCACACTAAGAATATTGGTTTTAACCCCATTAAGCTGTGGTAAACTATCAAAGAAAGGCCACAGAATGTTGTCCGTCTGAAATGCCAGGTTTGATCATAAGTGGTGACAACATGAAAAACAGAATAGAAGATAGAAAAAGGCAATTTTTTGTTTTCCAGCTGTTAATCCACTCCATGAACTGCTTTGGCATATTTCAATCTCCTTACAAGTTTCAATGCTTAAACAGTCACTAAAGATTGCAAAGAACTTGCTTTACCAAAATTTCTCAAGTTGGACAGGGAATCGATCACTCCCAAGAAAATTAAAACAAGCAATTTGTTCTGAATACAACTGGGATACACTGGTGACCAAGCTACTGCAACAAGTAGTTGGGATGCCAATCATGAATCCCGCCCTTAAGCACATTCTCATCTCTCATCACCTAGCTCAAAGGGACTGCCATTACATTTAGCCCTTAAGATTACTGGGTGGACATAAAAGGGAGAAGATGACAACCCTGTCCTAGTCTTCCTACACGGTTGCCATGCATGCTCTTCAAATGTCTCAGAACCTGATTCAGGTTTTTTTTGTAAGTAACATTTTCTCCATAAATTGTAATCTTGTCAATGGCTGAAGTTACAGTTGTCTGTGATATACCTTTCTCCAAAAGATACTGTCGCTATGCATACTCTGATCATATGAGGGAGACCATGATTAGATGTCAAAGTTGCTGTTTTAATTACCTCTGTCACTTCTGACTTTGACACAGACAAGAAACTAGGTCTGTGTCACAGAAATTTAGCTTATGACTGTGCTGTTCTAAGATCCTACAATGGGCTTGCTATGCAAGATGACAGGGTCTGAAGGAGCCCGCCTCTACCACTATCATAATTCGATTCTTCTCTTAATACTGAGGTACCCAATCAAAGAAAGCTATGAATTCCTTTTTTTTTTTTTTAATTTCTTTTAAATTTTTCCTGGGTCCCAAAACAGGATGAGAAAGAAAATGAAACATGTCTAGCAGGTGGCCTACCACTGTAATGGAGAAAATTTCTAACAGAAATTTAAAGACAAAGGTATGACAGACACTTAAGCTATATTGGCTTCAGGTGTTCTGATAATACCTCATACTCTTGTGGTTGGTTTTGTCCCAAGCTATCTCTAACTACATCTGCTGCAGTTCCTACTGCACAGACCCAATGTGCCATTTGGTCTCTCTATACCTTTCCCAAACACACACCACAATTACTTTCACCATAGCTCCCCTCTGACTCCATCAAGATGTTCCCCTGAGTTCCTTATTCTCCTTGCAGATCCTCCTTCAATAGGATTCCCTCCGTCTCCGATCTGTCAGTGAGACATGCATATAGAACATAAGTGACTAAACAGAGAACAGCTGCTTAAAGATATGCTGAGGGTTGAGATACAGATTTAGAACTCTTAATTATGGAGTGGGTACTGAAAATTAAGGATTTGCCTAGTTTATAGTAAGCAACCATAGAATGTGAAGAGAAATAGGACAATGAGAGAACTTCTGGAAACCCCAACTTAAGTACCAGGGACTTATGTGGATTGGAGCTCAATGGACTCAGTGAAATGTTGAGGCCTATTTCTAGACTGTGTGGGTTAAGAAGCAAGAAAGAGATGAGGCAAAGAGAAGAAATTTGGCACTAGTTATAAAAGAGATGAAGGTCAAAGAAAGTGCTTTTCTAAAGTCTATCAATCAATGTACTTCCCTGAGACTAGAAGACAAGTGAACTACACTGCAGGCAGAGGAGGGAGAATCAGTAGCTGGAAAGAGGCTAAAGTAAGTGAAGAGAAGAAACAAAGTCTGTGAGATGACTGGAAGAGGAGACACTAGTCCTAACAGGAACTCATCCTCCCAAGACTGGAGGTAAAGAAATAAAGAAGCTCAAGATACTTAATGTTCTAAATTGACAAAATCTTGATGAGGTCACAACTGTGGCAGTCATGCCCTGATAATAAGGAAAATAGAAAGTGGAAGATAATCAGGCTTGAGAGGAGCCACTGATAAAACTAACTGGTCAAAGGAGTTAAGTACATGTTAAAAACAAAAAAGGTAGGGGAGCCCTATGGGTTCCAGTGAGATTAGAAAACATGAATTTTCAGTGGCACTAATTGGTTCACACACAAAGAAGTAGATGAATGGACAGATATGCAATAAGTGCAATGAAAGAAGAAGGCCAGGAATTCGAGGAAGTAGTTTTTCTTCTTCACTGTAACAGCTCTTCTTATTCTAAGGTCATTCTAAGACCAGCTGTTCCTCTGCCTTAATTTACTATCTTATCATGCAAAGTCTCTAAATTCAAACCAATCACTGAATTAAGAGAATCTGAGAAAAGCATACTAGGAAATAACACAGCCAAAGAAAAAGCAACTCACTAGATCCTTGTGAAACAATAGGCATAAAAGATGTGCATAAGAAGGAAGATAATTTAAAACATGAAGATTCTAAGCTGCCAATCAGACTATATCCATTACAGCAATACATTCACTTAAGTGTAAGCAGCATACCTGTTTTGATTCTGGAGGCTTTTTCTCAGGTGTTCGAATCTTATTAATTTCAGGTCCAGGATTATTTGTATCACTTTTACCTAAGAAAATATTTTAAAATCCTTATAAATTTTCTCCAATGAATGTGACATTTCCAGTGACTATCCAATATTTGACAAAGCAGCAAAATATTTTAAACATTATTCACTCATTATCAATTTTTTACTACATGAGTTTGTTCTTAAATTTTCAGAGATGCAGTTTCTCTGTAAGAAAGAAAATTTATAAATGAAGCAAATCTCACTGATGAGGCAAAAGATTACTGAAGGAATAACCTTAAAACATCAAATAATCCCAAAGAAAATTGCCCAATCTCCAGAAATTTATAGTCTCATTTCTTAAACTACACATTAAAGGCCTTGACATTCTTTGCCTATTTATAAAGGCTCAATGCTTTGTTCCATTACAAATACCAATTAAGTAAAAATCCAAATAATGTGTCAATGCAACTTAGAAAAGGAATCTAAGCTGAAAGCTATGGTTTGGACCTTAAATGTTCCCTACACGCCCATATGCTAACAGCGTGGTCCCAGGCTGTGGCTCTGTGGTGCTGCTGGGAGGCAGTAGAACTTGTGGGGACCGGCAGAAGAAGTTAGGTCATTGGGTGCATGCTCTTGAAAGGAATATTGGAACCCAGACCAATCCTTTCTTTCTCTTTTTGCTTCACTGCCACCATGAGGTAAACAGACCCCCTCCACCAAAGCTCCCATTATGATGTACTGTGCAGGTCCAAAGCAATGGGGCCAACTATGTTGTGAAACCAAAAGCGAAAATAAATCTTTCCTTCCTATAAGTTGTTTATCTCAGGTATTGTGTTATAGTGACAGAAAGCTGATTAACACATTCAAAGAAATCCTGAAAAGAATCTAAGCTACACTGCTTAAAAATAATAGATAGCAAACTAAATATAAGTCGGTGACGAACAGTAGAGGAAGCAAAGTTAAGGTTTAAAAAGTACAATTATAATAGACTTGAATAATTTCACATATATGAAAACTTCTAATCTGTAAGATTTAACTATGAATATTTTTAAGGTCTCTGGAGGAAGGAATCCTTGATTTGGGTTTGTTCAAAAACATTCTTTCAGCAATGCCACTAGAACTTTGTAAAATGAGCATCATGCCAGATCAGACTTACCACTAAACTTCAAGAAATAAAAATTACAATGTCTGAGATGAAAAACACTGGGTAGCATTACAAGATTAGTTACTGCATAAGAAAAACTTGGCAAACTTGAAGATGTAGCAATAGAAGCAACCCAAAATGAAACACAAAGAGAAAAAAATTGAAGAAAAAAATGAAAAGTGTACCCATGAAGTCTGAGAAAACTTTAAGTATCCTAATACATAGATAAATGAAATCACTAAAGAGAATAGGGTGTGAGACAGAAAATATATCTGCAGAGACAAAGGTGGAAAATTCTAAACTTCATGAGAGGTACAAAAACAAAATATCCAACACAAGAAACATGAAGAAAACTACACAAAGACATATCGTAATCAAATTGCTAAAAGCAGTATAAAATAAAAATCTTTAAAGGAGCCACAGAAAACACAATACATTGCATGTAGAAAAACGAGGATGACCTCAGATTGCTCACTGGAAAACAGAACCAAATCATTAAAGAACTGAACAGTAGTAAATGCCAACCGGGAATTCTATACCCAGCAAAAGTATCTTTCAAAAATGCAATGAAATAGGACATTTTCAAACATAAAAAAGTGGAAAGAATTCATCAGCAACAGACCTGAAATACAAAGAATATTAAAAGAAGTCCTTAAGGAAAAGGAAATTTTTATCAGATGGTAAAGAAACTCAGGGCTTCCTGCAGGCAAGCACTTTATGACTGAGCTACACTCACTTGCCTTTTATTTAAACTAAAAAAAATTTGGCTTCTTAAACAAAAAATTATTTTGTTTGTAAAATCATATGTAAAAGTAAAATGCATAATAATAGCATAAAAATCAGGAGAGGAAAGTTTGAACTACTGCAAGGTTCTTTTACTTATGTGAGGTGGGAAAATATAAATTGGAAATTAGACTGTATTAAATTAAAGATGTATACTACAACCCCTAAAGCAACTATTAAAATAACACAGCTATAGCTAATAAGCGAACAAAGGAGATCAAATAAAATCATAAAAATACTACTCCAAAAGAAGGCATAATAAGAGGAGAAAGAGAATAAAACTGATTGGGCAAATAGCAAGATGACAGACTCAAACCTGTGTCAGCCATCACATTAAATGTAAATGGTCTAAATTCCCCCAATTTAAAGGGAGAAATTGTCACATTAGATAATTTTTTTTAAGTCATATATGCTATCTAACAGAAACATACTTTTACTTTTATATGATGTTGGGTATTGAACCTAACACACTTTACCACTGAGCTACAACCATAGCTGAAGAAATACACTTTAAATATAAAAATGTAAAATGATGTACACACACACACCATGCTATCACTAGTCAAAAGAAAAAAGCTGAAATGGCTGCACTGGTATTAACCAGAGTAGAACTCAGAGCAAAGAATACTAGCAGGGACAAAGCACTCCATAATGGCAAAGTGAGTTAAGCAAAAACTCAGAATTTTAAATGCTTACCACCTAATAACAGAACTTCAACATTAATTAAGAACTGATAAAATATAAAGAAAAAAGAGACAATAGTTATATTTAAAGACGTCAATTCGTCTCTTCAGAAACTGACAGAAAAATCAGCAAGGATGTAGAACATGTGAACAACACTATCAACCAACTTAGCCTGATTACCATTCTTTCCAAGTGCAATGGAGCATTTACAAAGACCATATTCTGGGCTGTAAAACAAATCTAAATAAATTCAAAAAGATTCAAGTCATACAAAGTATGTTTTCTTATCACCATGGAAATGAAATAGAGATCAATAACAGAAAAATTCTTAGAGAATCTCCGATAAGCAAAAACTGAAACTCACCATTCTAAATAATCCATGAATCTAATTTTGTGGGTTTGATTTTTGAGTTTTGAGACAACATCTCACTATACAGCCCAGGCTGGCCTGGCATTCACAATCCTCCCGCCTCAGCCTCCCAAGTGCTGGGATTACAGGCATATACCACCACGCCTGACCCATGGATCCAATTTTAAGAGAAATTTGAAAGTCTACTGAACTAAATAAAAATGAAAATACAACATGTCAGAATTTGTGGAATGTACTACTGAAGAAAATTTATCAACTAATCTAGATAGATGTATTAATCAAATTTCACCATAACAAAATATGTGAGAGGCCACAGACTGAAAGCCATTTTAAAATGCTGAGAAAAATGAAAGACCTAAAAAAGGATGTGTGACACCGTCTTCATAGACCAGAGCACTCAGCATTGTTAAGATCTCTAGTCTCTCAAAACTGTCCTAAAGACTTTCACAATCTCACTCAAAACTTCAGCTGGCATTTTTATAAAAGTTGACAGCCTAATAGTACAGTGTACATGGAAACCAAAGAAAGAGCTGGAATGGAGACTGTGGAAAGAAGAATGCGGTTGGAGAACTCATTCTACCTGCTTCCTGGATGATAGAGTCAGGAATCAAGACAGCATGTCTGGCATGAAGAGCAGAGCACAGTCCAAGCAGATGGGAATCCATTTCCAACAGTGGTGTCAAAGGCAGCTCAATGAAGAATGCTGAACAACTGACATACACACATGCAAACCAGAACAAAACCAGAACAAAACTGACAAAATACCATACCAACTGTTAGCTCATGCCACATACAAAATTTAACTCAAACTGGATCTAACGCAAGAGCTAAATCCATAAAACTCCTAGGAGACAACAAGAGATGATCTTTGTGACCTTGGGTTAGACAAAGACTTTTTAGACATAACACCAATACAGAACTCATAGAATAAGTAGAGAAACTAGACTTCCTCAAAAATAAAAACTTCTGTTCTCTGAAAAATGCTATTAAGAAAATGGGGGGGATTGCAGTGAGGTGGAGCACAAATGCAATCCCAGATACTTGGGAGGTGGAGGTAAGGAGATTACAGTCTGAAGCAGGATCCAGGCAAAAACACAAGACCCTATCTAAAAAATAACTAAAGCAAAAAAGGCCTGGGTATGTAGCTCAAGTGAAGAGAGCTTGCCTAGCAGTTGCAAGGCTCTAAGTTTAAAGCCAAGAAAGAAAGAGGGAGGGAGGTAGGGAAAGAAAAAAGGAGAAAGAGAAGGAGGGAGACAGAGACAGAAAAAGGAAATAAGAAAGAAAAGGCAAGCCATATTCTAAAAACATTGTTAAAACATGTATCTAATTAAAGATTTGTATCCAGAATGTATAAAGAACTCTAACTTAATAAAACAAAACAACTCAACTAAAAAGTGAGCAAAAAGCCAGGTGTGGTGACTCACATCTATAATCCTAACTACTCCAGAGGCAGAGACTGGAGGACGGCAGTTCAAGGCTAGCTAGGTAAAAAAGTTAGTGAGACCCTATCTTAACCAATAAAAAGCTAGACATGGTGACATCTATGCAGGAAGTGTAAATAGGAGGCTTGCTCTACAGGCCAGCACCGTCATAAACACAAGACCCTATTCAAAAACTAACTATAAAAGATCAAATCCTACAGGGGGAAAAAAGGAAAAAAAAACTATGAAGGAAAAAAAGCTGGGGGCATGGCTCAAGTGGTAGAGCCCCTGTCTTGCAAACATGAGTTCAAACCCCAGTACTACCAAAAAAAAAAAAAAAACAAAAGTGTGGCGGCGGTGG